TATATATATATATATATATATATATATATATATATATATAGAAGAGGACATTTTCATAGAAAAAAAAAATCACAATGTTTATGTTTTCATATTCTGTTGTCCTGGTTTTAATCACATGATCAGGCAATGCTTTCTGTTTCAGAAGGTGTGACTGCAGGGCAGTGGTGTGGGGAGGTGCTGTGGAGGCTGGACAGGAAGCAAGAGGCAGCTGCATATTGGAAAAAGACCTGGAGCCAGCCCATTCCATCCATAGCAGAGTGAGATACTAAACTCTATACACATACATGTGGTTCTTTTTAACAAAATTTTGTGTTGACTGGTAACCTTCCACCTGTTTAGATTTTGTGACTTAAAGTGTAAGATTTCCTAATTATCCCGGGTGGATGTTGTTAAGCATTTACAAATAACAACTCAGAAAACATGAAAATTACAAAGGTAAAATTTTACCAATATAGAAATGTTAGACATTAGAAAGATTAGATTCTCTACCATTCAACCACCAAGATCATTTTATGGACAAAGCGAGCAACAAGGCACAATTAACACAGATATAGCAGCATGTCAAAATTTAAATATGACAAGAAGCCACAACAACATACCTTTGAAGGTATCCAGAAGCCGTATTATAAATTCAATCTTCAATTGTTTGTACTCCGTTTGTCCAAAAGGGTCCACGGATTAAAAATAATCCAGCATATTCAGAATAAAAACATTTCATGATGAGAAAATTGCTAAATAACTTACATAATTTGACAGAAGAAAAGTTAGCTGGTCATAGATAATGTTTAGCATCTTGCTAATAAGACTTACTTCCTCAAACGTTTGCCTGCGATGTTTGGTCTGTTTTTTTTGTTTTTGTTCTTTTTTTACATCGTCTTCCTACCTACAAGACAAAAGTGTCCACATCTTTGTATGACTCGATTTGATTCAGGAACAGCCAATTAAGCTCCTTAGCAAGCTCCTTGCCTGTCAGCCAATGACGCACTGAGTTGTTATTCACTGAATGAAACTTTTAATATTTTTATATTTATTTTTTATATAAAATGTTTTACAGTGCAAAAATTTGTTTTATATTTATATAGAAAAAAACTACTTTGAGTCATGTTTGAACTGAGGCAGTTTAGGCTGTGTTTTAGTCACATATTTTCAGAAACTATAGGGTGTTAGCTTTCAAATAATGTATCACACATGTAATTTGGGCTTACAATTCCTCAGTTATTTGCTTTTCCATTTGGGTATGCAAAATAGGAGAGGATACCCAGAATTAGGTGGGCATTAGATACTGCCTAATATTAGATTGGGCCTGTTTGAAAACATGGATAAAAAAAATAAAACTCTTTGAATCCCTGTTGACTATATTCTTTTTCTGGCCTAATTTCTCTTCCAGGACTCTTCCTGTTTACGCACAAGAACTTCAGTCTGATCTGTTGCTGGATTCAGAGGAGCTGCATCAAAGACTGCAAGAACTTGACCCTATCTAGGCAGACTGGAGAGAAAATTTCGCTTAGTATGTGTGCGCATGTGCGCGCGTGTGTGTGGTGGGGTGCTATCAAGCTCAAATTCTCATGAGACGAATATGTGGAGAGAATAAAACAGTTGTGTGAGTGGAAACCTGTCATGTGGGCTTGTGAGTCCAGATTTATCTGTTCTTTTCCCTTCTAGAGCTATTGTTCTGCGTCTTTTAACATCAACCCACTTTGCTTGAAGATTTGAACAGAACCACATTATCTACTAAAACTGTTACCCTAAACTTTTAAAGCCAACCTTTCTCTAGAAAAACGTCTTAAGCGTAGCCTCATTTAACGCCACAGAAAGTTTTAGGGAACACATCCACTGGCAACAAGCTCAACTTTGTGCCAACTGCAGATGATCCACCAAACCCAGGGATCCTGTAGACACTCAGCACTTTACAAGTGTAAAGATATAGTTCCATCTTGCATGGAACACTATTGTTTGATGGCATGTTGATAGTTAAAAAATATAACCTTGCTTGGAATATAATTGTCAATAACTAATGTAACTTGACTGGTTAAACACTATTTTAAGTAGGTGATATAAATCTAACGGCGAAGAAGCCTTATCTTTTAAAAATGGTACTGCATAAAAATAAATATTAGTCATGGACATGGAACTTAGAACAAATCTGTGTGAATCCTTTGACTCCAGTACACCCCCTTTACTTTGAAGATTGGCTTAATTAATTGGTTTAATTAATCCCTGTGCTCAGTGACCAGACCAACTCATTATAACCACAGCAGGTCAATAACAATGCAATTTATGGATTCAAATATGGTAGAATTTTAATGAGAAGTGAACCAGCAGTTGTTTAAATTAAAATAATTATATTATCATCACCTTTTTGTAGTATAGCAACCATGTTGACTATAGTTTTCTATTAAATTGTTAGATTGTATATTGTTAAATATACCCATATTTATATTGCATATATAGATCAAAATATTACATTTGGTGGTCTAGATTGATGGGAACTGTTTAAGTGTTATTTAAGAAACTTATTTTTCTAAATTTGGAAATGAAGCAACTGAGCAAAGTATGCTTAGTTATCTAAGGAAGGCATTTAGTCTATTCATAATTACGAAAATCCTGTGGAAGTAAGGTTCATTACATGTTTTGCATAGATTTATTATGAAAAATTTATGTCATTCTTACATTTTGTCATAAAAGGGGCCAGTTTGTAAAGTCTGGAATGAGTAAACACACATTTTCTGTTTTCAATATCAACGCGGTGAGCGTTAATTGGATGAATGGGATTTGCTATTGAGCCAATAAGAAAAAAGTTGACGACCTCCTTTTTTTCCTTTGTAACTGGCCAAACTTCAGCAGTGCCCTCGGTGACTAGTCTCTACGCGTCTGATTGGTTACCGAATTTCACGGAGCGCTGCCAGCCAATCAGAACGTAGGATGTGTGTAACTCATGGTATAACCGTAAAGAAGGCAAAGGAAACTGCTGCTCTTTCGTGTGAATTCACTGGGAACGTTTAGTTGCGATAACCGGTTAAGCTTCTTTAACATTTAGCTAGACTTTATTTATTATCAGCAATTCAGGAGGTCAACCATGGCTTCGGGAGGGGAGTAAGTATACATTTATAATCTTTATATTTTCTGAGCCATTTTTTTGTTGCGATTGGAGCCGTTACCCTTTAAATGTATTACGTTCAAAATGCTAATACATTGCTAGCTAAGCAGCTAATGGGGTCAGTTAATGTATCCTCCGCAGCATTTTCTGGAGGCTAAAAACGTCATAGCAGCTTTACATTGGACTTATTGAGTGGTATTTAAATGTTATCAAAACACTTAGTTTTCCATGATGGGTTAACGGTATTCAAGAAATGAGTTGTGTGACTTCACAAAGCGCAGTCATTGCTACTCGTTTGCTAACTTTAGCTTAGCAACACTGTCAAGGCCAAAGCCATCACACTGAAAATCGGCCTATTCACTGACACCGATTTATCTTTTTCGGAGTTGATATAAAACGTTGAACCACTGATATTTCAATTTTACATTTTCCCTCAAAAGTTGGCTTGACAGGCTTAGGACTGTTACTAAACCGACCGATTGAAAATGTGAGGAGCTGCTAGGCTAAACGGTGCACCAGCGCAGGCTAATTGAATTTAGGCGATCGTCAATGTTTTAGACATCTGTTTGCAGTTAGAATAAATCCCTTTAAACGAAGTTTTCTTTAAAAGTATAAAGAATAGTGTCTTGGGATTTGACAAACGATAATGTTATTTCAACGGGGAATCTTTAATGTACGCAGTTAGCGAACAAAGTTTTTTTTCTTTTTTTTTTTTGTCAGATTC